TAGTGGCAAAATAAGTTAATAATAAATAAATAATGGATTTATACATGCTAAGAGCAAGAGTTGGAGGTTCCAGCTGGCTTCCAGAATAAATAAATAAGGGGGGGGAGGGCAGAGGGAGCAAGCCAGTCCATTAAAGCATCACATTAATTCAAGGCTGTATTCATTCACATTTAAAGGGAAGCAGTTGGCAGAGGTGCTCGGTATGTCTCCAATGAGTTCAAAAGTATGGAAGTTTTACAAACAGCTCAGGTCTTGCTTGTTTGCAGTAAGCTGCATTTCTGCTTCTGCAATCATTTGTGAGAGACAGAAAGTCTACCTGTAACCACCCTCCGAAGCTCTCACATCTGGAGAAGCATTCTGACTGGAAGCAAATATTTGGAGGGAAGAATGTATTTAGGTGGAGCCAAGGAGAAGGTGAAAATCCACTTTCCCTGTTCCTTCTTCAACCTACTTTTCTTATGTCTTCTATTTTAGGCTTGAAGCAAAGACTCAGTCATTGAGAAGGGTCTTGCAGACCACAAGATCTGCAATCGTGCTTTTTCCTTCCCAAACTCATCTGAGCTCTTTTGCTATTCAATACACAACTGCTTGTGTGTGTTAGTGTTTCCAGAAAACTCATCACTAGGGACACTGAGCACTGTCCTGGGTGGCTCAATGGGAATTGGACTGCAGTCTGAAGGATGGAGCTCATGACTTAACAGGCTTTTTCCTTGCAGAGTTTCAATGGTGCTACAATTAATTAGGCTTTTCTTCTTCAGAGCTCTCCAGGGGAAGTGTCTGCTGGGCTAAGAGGAGCTTTCACTCGTTCTTGCCCTACCTCTTCACATTCCCTCTTCCCAGCAGGACAGTTTTCATGTCCCCTGTTTGAACCTTGTGGGTAAAAGCGCCCCTTAGTGGTAGCATAGTTAATTACAACAGGTGTGGGGTTCACTGACTTTGGGGTTAAATGGTATCCAACCCCTGGAAAACACTGCATGCTGGCAGATCAGCTCTGAAAACAAAGCAAGGCCCAGTTTTTATCTCTTCTGCTGACTTCCATTCTGGTTTGGCATAACTAAAGCAACATGCTTTGCATTTAATTCCCTCTTCAGGTTTATATGCTGTGCACACATGATACAATATTGGCCTTTTAGACCTCTTCTCACCCTCTTTGTCACCACCCCATTTCTCTTTATCATCCTACATGCTCACATTCCACACACTTTCGGTAGCTTATTGGTAACCCCAGTCTAACACTTCCCTTTAGAGAAAGGATACAGAGGAATCAGCAAAGGGAAAAACTGAGGCTAACAAAAGAGACAGTGACTTATTTTGCTGTCTCTTGAGCTTAATCATGATGGCTTAATCTTGAAGAGGTATCAGGAGAGAAAGGAGTTGGGATGAAAAGCCATGGCATGAAGACCCAGCTGAGCTGTGGAGTTAATCTCCAAAAACTTAGATTAAAATATTACCTTTGATTAAAATCGGGTTTTGTTTGACTAGAAGTGAGGTTCCTTTTTCTGGTTCCCTTTGCAATGCAGCATGTGCCATGAGAGCATCTGCAAACAGCTGAGAAATCAGCAGAAGGTATGGATGCTGGTAGTGTCTAAACATTTCTGTGAAGCTGCCAGTTGGTAAAGTGGCTACCCCTTTACTGCAAGTGCTAACTGCTTTGGGAACATCGCAAGCAGTTTGTCACCATTATGAAGATGAGACCAAAAGCACCTATAGTAGAGGAGCAGGCAAGAGAAAAGAGTAAGAGGAGAAAATATTAGAAACAGAAGAAATTAAAGTTGGAAGAAATGACTTTGAGTTTGAATGTGTTTCAATGCATCACTGGCACTCAGGCTCTGAGCTTTTCCAATGTATGGTTGTTAACCACTGAGAGCTGAGTAATTAAGAATAACAGAAGTGCCTATACCTTTTTTGCCACTCTTACTGTCTATGAAAGCTTTTTCTTTTCCTCAGTTCAGCCATGGAACCACATATTTATGTAGTTCAATCCAGGATGCTCCTTTTCCAGTTTTCATTAGCCCTTTATTCCTTTTTTTGGCAGCTCATCTGAGCACAGTCTGGAAATGAGAGAACGTTGCCATCTCCATGATTAATGGCTTCCTCCATTGAATTGCAATTACATGTTTTAATCAGTTCATTATTCCACCTAGTTTTTTGGGTCTTGACAGTTTTGCTGTGGAAACTAATTGAATTGGCTTTGCCTCAAGGCTTTCCTGCAAAAAGATCTTGTCTTGCCTTTGGGGATTGTGGGGGCTAATTGGCCAACTCACATTTAATTTCCTCATTTTCCAATCTGGAAAAAAAAACCCAAAAGGTGTTTATAAGGTACTTATTTCCTAGTCCTTGCCCGCTAAAATTCCCCATTTTCTGCTTCACTTTCCAAACTCTTTCCTTTACAGTGCAAGATAGGTGCACTGCTAAAAGTTTAACTTCAGATAACAGCTGGGGATAACTAAAACTGTTGGTTTAGTCAAAATGGTTAATATACTGTTCTGTTCCTCAGAGAGACATGACTCCTTGGAGACTTCAACTGTTTCTTCCTACACTACTTTTCCACTTCAGCTGGTCTAATGGATTCTGTTTATAAGGAGAGGTCCCATGACCCGCAAAACCATTGTTTGCAGCTTCTGTTATAAGTCGTCCTTGAGTTTTCTTTTTCTGTGTGCTGTTTCTTGAATTCAGAGATGAGCAAGCAGTAGGTTCCCCAAAGACAAGTACTCCCAGAAAAGAATTCAAATTAGTGGATGCTTAGGACTCTGCAGAGCTGCCAAAAAGCTCACAATTGGACCCCATCGTGCAACACACAGATGTGATCCAAAAGAAACTTTGACATCAAATGGAGTCAGACTGAGTTGTTAACACAGTGTGAGGTGTGTAATGAGTAGCTGCAACAGCTCTCCCAGGTAGAGCCAACCTGCTAAGCTTTCAACCTGATGGAAACACTGCCATTCACTTTTCTATCGCCTTCCTTATTTTACAGTAGGTGTTAGGCCACATGAAACATCTATGCAGAAGCATGCTCTGAGTGTCCATTCGTTTCACTCTATTTGCCTGGGAAACTGTCTTCTTAGGTTCTATTTTATTCACATGATGAAGTTTAACTGGAAAGGCTGGGCTACAGAACAGACATGGTAGAAGCCAGAAAAGATAAAAGGGGAAAGAGCAGCTCCCAGAGACAACCACCACGTACCAAGTGGGATTTTCAGAGCTATGAACTTTGAGCATTTGGACTCAAGAAAAGACTTTATTTGTCTGTGGTTTTACTTGAGGCATGTGTGCGTATTTGAGTTCAGTATCCAAGCTGGAAGTTGGAGATGATCTTTTCTCTTTCCTATAGGTAGCGCTGTTTCCTTTCTGCCAGGGCTTTCAGATTTCCTCTTTTTTTGAGGGATAATGATCCAGTCCCTGGCTGGGATGCTTTGAAAGGGGGTGAAGTCAGATCATGGAAAGCTAAACATGCTTAGTTAGGTTTGGAGATGGAGATTTTTAAAGCAGGAAGTGTATCAGGAAAACAGAGTCTGTTACCTTAGGATTTTTATTTTTCGAAACCCTTTTCTCTTTAATGAATCAAGATGTTTCTGAACCTGCTTTTTCATCACAGCAGGAGTCACCAGCCAATATAAATATCAGAGAAGAGGGCACAGTGGCATTCTAAGTTCCATTTTCCATTGTTGCTCTTCTGTAATTAGAAGACTTTCTGCCTTGATGGGAAAGCCATAGGCTATGAGGCCAAGGCAGAAATGAGGCAGAACCAAACTCTTCACCTCAGACTCAGGTTCCTTTTATTAAATAAGTTTCCATTTCATAGCAAGAGTTTAAGGCTTTAGTCAGAAGTGAAAGGGCGTAACTTGCTGGAAAGCTGATTAAAAATATATGCTACGTATTAACAGAGGACAAATGGAATAATTTTATTCCTAATTCCTTCAGTTATTAAGGTACATCAAAGGCACATACTTTTTAAACGATGAAAGAACATCCCATCCTTTTAGGCAAGGTGATTAGTGATATTAGTATCAATAATATCAATTAGTATTAGATCCTTCTGGTACATTAACAGGGAATAATGTTCATCTGGCAACTCACAGTGCAGTATCCAGAAGGGAGCTTATTAAAATGACTCTTTCCCTTCCCCTAAAGCCCTTTGGCTTACTCACCTCATTAACAATAGTGCAGGATCCAAAAGGAACTTCTAGGTGCTTCCAAGATGTGTTGTGGAATTACAGATACTGACAAGATTGAGGGATATTTACATGCTCTGATCTCATGTGGGAAGAAAGGATGTAAAACTGGGGAGTCACAGGAAAGCAGCAGAGTCTGGGAAGTGCAGCATGGTTGGTTATTGCAACCACACTCCAACACGCTTTGCAAGCGAAGAGAGTTTTGTGAGCTTAAAAGAAACAAAGAGTAACAGTTCCTATAATGTGCAAAAGTAAAGATCTGTTGTTTAAAAAGCACACAACTGTATCTACCACCTCCTGATGCTTTTGACAGGAATCACAGAAGGAGCAGATTGGATCAGCAAAACTTCACTCAGCCCTGACAGTTTGATTACACTGCTGTGGAGGATATGACAGATGTTGGAACAGCACGAGCAACTTAAACAAAATGCATCAAGCACAAAGCTGGGGCTCAGCTTTTCCTCCACTCACAATGATTTGCAGCCTCTGAGGGGTCAGAATGTAGGGGCGATGGTTCTACATGTACAGGGAGGAAAGGGGGAAAAAGGGAAGATTGAGACAAGTAGGAAAAAATTGCCTCCAAATGATGAAGTGCCCAGCAGTATCAGACAAATGTATGGAACTGGAAACATGCTGTTTGCCTTTCGTGGAATTATTCAGAAATGAATCATAGCTAAGGCACTGGAGGATTTGGAGAATCATCAAGCAAGCAGAGAAGAGATAAACAAGCTTTAGAGCACGTGCACGTTTGCAAATAAGCAGCAAATTATTTGAAGGAGACAAGGGGCAGATGTTTGGCAGCTCATTCCCTCCTCAGATATTTACCTACCTGTGGCATTGTTTTCAGATTTGCTGAGCACTCCTTGCTCCTGCTGATTTTACAAACTGTGCTCAGCATTTCTGAGAGAGATGGGAAGTATTCGAGTCACGTACCGGAGGATCTGATACACACAGTAGGCATGTACAGGGCTGATGCTTAGGCAACAGCATTTCGGAACCATTGCCTAGTATGCCACTGCCAGGTGATGAATTTAGCCTATACGTTCAGTAAGTTCTTACAAGCCACACCAGACTGCTTTTCACATCAGAAGTGAGCTATTGATTTGTCCCCATGCTTCGTGGAAATCTCTTCTACTCTCTATTGTGGTACATACGTGAGGTCAGCAGTCGTATTTCATGCTCACCATTTGTTGTTTATCATTACAGCAGTGTTTATTTTAATGTGGGTAAAACATAATCAGAAGCTCCCTAAGAGAAATGGTTGTACCAGATAGCTATAACAAGTATGTGAGCTGTGGATGCTTTACCTTCTTTCACAGTACTGTGAATGCATCGTCATCCTTACCCAGCACACTTTTTCATATTTAGGTTTCAGGGATGGGCACAGAATGACCAAGTAGGGCAAGAGGATCTTTTCCAGGAAGCTGGCTAGACTTATATAAGGAGAGCTTTAAACCAGATTTAGCTTTGGAAGAGGCTGGAATTTTGTGCAGTAGAGACAAGCAAGAGTATTAGGAGCCAATGGGGCTGCTGCTCTCTTAATTTAAAAAAAAAAACATTATTTTCCCAAACTTTTTACACCTACACATTCCAATGGGCTTTCTTTTCTACCAGTAGTAGGAAAGATTCCCTAATCACCTGGCCTTTCCTCTCACATCCCTCCTGTTAGATATATTTCCTGTGGATGCCTCAAAGATGGGAATCAAACTGAAGAATAGGATTTTTATGTTGTAAGCTCCTGCAATGTTTTTCTTTCCCTTTACTTTCAGATGCATCCCAAGCAGGTGCCAGCTTTCTGGTTTCATTTATTCACAAAATTATCTCAAAAATCCAGCCCACGCTTTCCACTTAAACTGTGTTCATCCCAGGTCTCCTTCTCAAGGATTGCTCAACCAAATCATCTCCTTATATCTATATGGGACAACAAATATCCTACAAGACTGAGCCAGCAAACCACACATCATGTTTCTTAGCAAGACCATCATTTGATAACAGGCTGAGATTTTCAGGATAACGCTGTGTTGCCACTTCTACAGCAAGCTCTCTGGGAGCAGTGCTGCTCTCACTTTGCATCATGTGTAATTCAAATCACATTCATTGTCTTTCCAGAGAAAAGCAAGCAAATACTTGAGCAAAACAATTATTTCTGCTTATCTTTTGTATGCTTTAAACCTGCACTAGTTCAATGACTTATATTCAAAATTCAGGACACAGCGCTGGTGCTGAACTTTGCAAGAATATGTGGGTTTAATAGTTTATACATCGACCATTTCAATACCCTTCACTTAACTTTGCTCAAACATCCCAATGGGGTGTCTCTTCGCAGCATGATGGCTTGGGAAATGTAGTCCTTTGTTTGCAGAATTTCTGTGTCTAAACAGAGGTGGTTGCAAAGTCTCTTCTGTAGCTCATGAAGGCCCTGCTAAAAGGTGATTAGCCAATTAACTTTATTTACCTGTGATTACAATGTATCTGTTATCTCCCTCCATTGATTTGATGGGTAGCCGCCATTAGGTGCCAAATTCTAAGTGGCTAAACTACCTGAGACTAATTCCACTGCACTAAACCACTAAACCATTCCCATGGTTTAGTACTTCATTTTGTACATGTCTCTTGGGATGGGAAGCCACAGTAGTTACAAATTGAAGGCCAAGAACTGGAGATAGCAATAGGGAAATAAAAGAAGAGAGTTCAGCTCAGTTTTCATGACCTTTATTTCCCTAGGGAATCTGGAGTCCAGCGAGGGGACAGGAGTTTGAGGCTTCTTTTTCCCCACCTTCCAAAAGACTTTGCCCATCCCTAGAAATCTCAACTAATTAGAAATATTGCAAGTTTTCTGTTGTGGCTGCTTCCTCGGCTAGATAGGCCTGGAGTAACAAGCAGCATAACAAGTACATGATGACATGGAAACAGCAGTATACCAATACACTCAATGCAAGAGAATCCAAATCACAATCTTGGCCAGTCATTGACTCAGCTGGGTTTGGCAAGTAGTATAGGGATTTATGAAAATAAGGTAGTGACTTTCAGTGCTTTTCAGCTGATTTTATGCTAAAAGAAACCTGAGGATCAGAGCAATGAGACATGCAAGGCTATAGTCTCTGAATTCCCTGCAGGCCTTATTATGTGTATAAGGAGACAGACGGCAAGTATTTCAGAGCTGAGGAAGCTGTTGCACTTGATTTAAAGGTAATTAAAGTGTGTGAGTGACAGCAGAGATGACATGTGATGCGTCAGACACCTTATCTCCATTTTGCTTCCTGCTTGGCAAACTCATCTGCATGCTGAATGAAGGATAATGTCTCATAGCCTTTTGCCTCTACCCCCATAGGATTTCTGTTCTGCTTTACCCATTCCTCCTCACAGCTCTCCTCTACTCTGGGATTCCATGGAGAATATCTCAGGTTTGCTATTAACTGTATTCCTTCCATGCCTAAGTCAAAACGAAAACATTTATTCTTATCAATAGTTGTTGATCATGCTCGAGAGTGTAAAAATTACCAGTCTAGTGGGCCATTGAGAAGAAAATAGACCCTGCACTGAAACATTATTGTTAGCTGCTGTCCAGCACTCCAGTGCAAACAAATGCAGAAGGGAAAGGATGCTGTGTTCATCGGTATTTTTAATCTGCTCATTTTGATTCCAGTAAGTCAACCAAAGCCAGTGTGAAAGTGAGGATTCATTGTGAGTATTCATTTCTTGAAGTGAATGAGTCTGTAGTTGTGCGCACAGTACTTTCAGTGCACAGCCTGGATCTGATGGCTGACGAATGTGTGACAGGCACAGGAAGGTCTTCTCTTGTACTAGCACAAGCAGTTCCATCCATGCTGCTGGGTCCCAAGTGTTCAGAAGACTGTCGTCTAAGCGTCATTTCTAAAAGATCTCTGTCTTGGGTATCTTGTAAGGGGTTGTAGGCCATCAGTGATTGCAAATAGATGTATTTTCGTTAAAATAGAAAGACAGGGAATACACACAGAGCTGATAATTGGTCACATTATTCCATCTGCCTAATAGCAGAACAAAATTACTGGCAGAACTGAGTTCAGTACAAGTGAAAACAAAAAGCCTGAGGCACTCAGAGCCATTAAGGGGAAGGGAAGGGAAGGGAAGGTTTGGGCTTTGACCTGTGGTGGTCATTTGCCTCCTTTGCACCTCTAAGTTGAGCTGAATCAAAATGAAAGCAACCATGGATTGAATGGTATGTCTCTGTCGGAAGCAGGTTGCCAAAGGGGGCGAGGACAGCATTTCACATGCCTGAAAATGGCAGCATTTCTTTCACCAGTTCCTAACTAAAAAGGATGTAAGCCACAGAGCTGTGTGTGTGAACTGTCAGTGATGAGAGCCTTTGAGGGTTTCACCCCTTCGATTTAGAGAGTGAAATTCAAGCTGTAGCAAGGATATCATTTAGATCAGCTTGTTTATGAGTGAGCAATGTCGCTGAGCCACCCAATAAGTAAACAGTGATTCTGGAGTCTGCAGGGGAAGAAATGTCCAATCCTTCCTCTGATAAATGTCACTCCAGTAGTACTGCTTTTGTCTCCTATTTCTGGAAGTAGAACTGAGGTTTGTAGGTTAAAGCGAGGTACAGAAGGCAACTGAGAGTCACAGAGTGGGGATCTGTATTCTTTGACATGACCAGATCAGGCTGACTACTGTGACCCCAGAAAATCAAGCTTAAGGTGCCTGTTCTGTTCTTTTCTGCTAATACCTGCTGTAAGGACCTTCCTGAGACCAGCTGTTCAGAGAAATGTCTGAAGGAGGATAGGGAGCTAGGGAGTGAATACAGAGTACACACAGCAGTCATAGCAAAACTGCCAGTAAACAAATAGATTTGTTCAACTACTTTTGGATAAAGCAGTGTTCAAGGCCAGAGTGGAGAGAGCCTAGGGCAGCATGGTCTAGGGTGAAGCGTCCCTGCCCATGGCAGGGGGTCTGTAATTAGATGATCTTAAGGTCCTTTCCAACCCAAACCATTCTATAATTCTATGAATAGGGATTTTTTTGTTATTATATTACATGGTGCCCACATGCACTTCTGAGCACTCTGCATGTGTACATATGGATTTTCTGCTTTGCAGTGTATATTTTGAAGCAACGTCTAGGATTCTGCCAGCATGTCTAGCATTCAGTCTTCTCATCAGATACTCTTATCCTCCCATCAGTGATTTCCCATGATAAGGGCTTCATGGCTCACCTTCCTTGAATAATAGAAAGGTAGCGAGGGTCTTGTTTGAGGTGTTTAACAGAGGGCTCAATACTTGTGGTGTGAGGAAGGTGCTCATATGAAGCTGTAATGACTAGCTGTCAGGGAGATGCATGATGGCCCTTCAGCCACTGAACACAAACAGATGAGGGTGACTGTGGTATTTCTCCAGTCCCTTAATTAGAGCTATGTGATAGCAGAGGCTCAAGTGGAGATGTTTTCCATCATCTCTGGTGAGGATGGAGGTAGGGCAGGGAAACTGGTTTGCTTTTGTTAGCCTCCGGCATCCTTGCACCGTGATATGTGTTCACCTCCTCATTTTTATCACTCTCCCTTTAGCTGTTTATTCCTTCTTTCATTACTCTCTGCATTCCTTTCCCTTCCTCACTCCTTCAGATTCTTCAGGAGCTAGTTTCCATTTCAAATAACTGAAACCTCCTCTTTTTCTGTAGGAGACTTCCCTGACTCAATTGTTCAGAACTGCAGTATGCTTTAAAGACCAACTGTAGGGTTGTTATGTACGAGTAGCTCGGTGCTGCAAATAAAGGAAACTGAGACACAGTTGAGAGTTAGTGAATACTCCTAAACAGAGCACAAGAGTTGTATTCCCAGCTCTGGACTTTCACCTGCAGGTTCTATGTATATAAGTGAGCTCCCTTGCTCCATGCCGTATACAACAATGGACGAGCAGAAACAT